TTGTTGTTCTTACGTAGAGTATATTTTAATATGCATACATGGAGTATGACTTATTCTAATTAGAATCCCATTCTTGTGGTTGTACATGGTGTGGAGTGCCACAGTCTGGCTGGGCACAATTCAGGAGCCACTTGTCAAAAGAAACAAACTTTATTTTTAGAACACACACACCACACCACACAGCTCTTCAGGAAAACCCTCAGAGCCCAACTGCCACCACCACTTCCCACAAGCCTCTCAACCTCCCCCACCCCTCCTGCTCTGGAGGCCGATTGGCTGGGTCACGTGGGCGGAGCCAAAAAAGTCCCCCAATGAGCAGCTCCGTGGTCTGAAAGGGCGGGGAAACAGCCCAATGATCATCACCGCAGAGGAGCCAATCAGTTGGCAGCTAGAAGTTTGCTGGGCCCCTTCGGCTGTGGCTCTCAACAGTGGAGCTGCATTGGTTGATGTTCATATATGAACATAGGAAAGTTATGTCTGATTCATTCCACTGTCATTTCTATTTCCATCCTTCCTCCCTTCCCTTCATCCCCTCTGTTTAATCCAATGAACTTCTATTCTTCCACATCCACCACTTATTGTGTGTTAGCATCCACATTATTGGAGATCATTTGGCCCTTGTTTTCTGGGGGGACTGGCTTATTTCACCTAGCATGATAGTCTCTAGTTCCATCCATTTACTAGCAAATGCCATAATTTCATTCTTCTTTATGCCAGAGTAATATTCCGTTTTGTCTATATACCACATTTTCTTTATCCATTCATCTGTTGAAGGGCACCTAGGTTGGTTCCACAGCTTTGCTATTGAGAATAGAGCTGCTATAAGCATTGATGTGTGACTGCATCACTGTAGTATGCTGATTTAAAGATCTTTGAGTATTTACCAAGGAGAGGGATAACTGGGTCAAATGGTGATTCTAATCTAAGTTTTCTGAGAATCTCCATACTGCTTTCCAGAGTGGTTGTACCAATTTTCAGTCCCACCAGCAATGTATGAGTGTTCATTTTCCCCCACATCTTTGCCAACATTTATCATTACTTGTATTCTTGAATTGCCATTCTGACTGAAGTGAGATGGAATCTCATTGTAGTTTTAATTTGCATTTCTCTAATTGACAAAGATGTTGAACATTTTTTCATATACTTGTTGACCATTCGTATTTCTTTATCTGTGAAGTGCTTGTTCAGTTCCTTTGCCTATTTATTATTTACTTATTGGTGTTAAGAAGTTCTTTGTATATCCTGGAGATATGTGGATCGCTTACCTCCTCTGTCCTTTATACTGCAGCTCTCACGGGTACATCAACATGCTGCATAAACAACTCAATACAATTTTCACTTTAAGTACGCATTGAATTTTAAAGAAATGCAAAGGAAAAGGAGTCTCATATTTACCCATATTTATTATTTATGGTGCATTTATTCCTTCCTGAGGACATTGGGGCTCTGTCTAGAATTTTCAATATTCATTTTATTTCTATTCTTCAAATTGAATAATTTATATTGATAAATCTTATAGTTCACTGATTCTTTTTTCTATAAGTGCAAAATTCTACACAAGTCCATCCAGTGAATTTTTGATATTGTATTTTTTAGTTCTAGAGATTCCAATTTTAGTTGTTCCTCACTGAGGTTTTCTATTTTTATTCATTACTAGTGTGTTTTCCTTTGGGGAAGGGCTAGAGCAGCTGATCTGAAGTCCTGGTCAGCTTACAGCTGTTCCTCTAACAAAATGCAGTCTGCTGCTAACCACTGCACTCAAGGAACATCACCATAAAGCAAGTTATGCAGATCTTGTTTTTCAATGTGTATAAAAGTTGTATTTATACTATAATGTATTCTATGAAGTCTGCAAAAACATTGTGTCTAAAAGTGCACAAACCTTGATTTTAATATGCTTTATGGATAAAACAAGCTAACAGCCACCTGAGTCTTCAGCGGGCTGTGACTTTTTTGCTGGTGGAAGGTCTCGTCTCTGTAGCTGGCTGCTGACTGGTCAGGGCAGTGGCCACTATAAGTTGGGCTGGCTCTAGCGATTTATTAAAATAAGACAGTAATAAAGTCTGCCCTGTTGATTGACTCTTCCTTTCCTGAAAGATTCCCCTGTGGCGAGTGATGCTATTTAACAGCAATCTACCCACAGTAAAACGTCTTTCAGAACCGGAATCAAGCTCTCAAATCCTGTCCCAGCTGCGTCAGCTAGGGTTATGTAACATTCTAAATCCTTTATTGTCATCTCAACAATGTTCACAATATCTCTGTACTAGTAGATTTCATCTTCAGAAACCTCTCTGCTCACCCATAAGCAGCAATCCCTCATCTGTGAAAATTTTACCATAATCACATGCTCAGGCTCCAGGGCTAATTCTGGTTCTCTAGCTATTCACTCCACCACATCTACAGCTACATCCTCCACAGAAGTGTCTTGAGCCCCTCAGAGCCAGACAGGAATGTTAGAACCAACTTATTCCAAACTCCTATTATCTTGATATTTTGCCCTGTGCCCATGAACAATGAATGTTCTTAGTGCCATCTTTCCAGAAGGTTTTCAATCTGCTTTGCCCAGATCCATCAGAGAAACTGCAGTCATTGGCAGCGATAGCCATTTGAACTGTATTAGCCATAAAACTTGAAATTACAATTACTCCTTGATCCATGGGTGAGTGCTATGTTAGGGCATGAAGACATGTTAACCTCATTAATGTCCATTAGAGCTTAGGTGACCAGATATGTGGTCAGTGAGCAGTGTATTTTTGAAATGAATCTTTATTTTTTCCCTGATCATTAAGCATCAATGGGTTTAAAAGATTCAGTAAACAATGTTGTAAACAGACATGTTGTCATCCAGGCTTTGTTGCTCCATTTACAGAGGGCACAGGCAGGGGACAGTCAGTATAATTCTTAAGGGCCCTTGGATTTTCGAATGGCAAATGAGCATTGGCTTTAGTGCCAAGCCACCAGCTGGGTCAGCCCCTAACAAGTGAATTAGTCTGTCCTCTGAAGCTTTAGAGCCAGGCATTGACTTTTCTCCACCTGTAAAATGTCCTAGATGGTACCTACATTGTTTCACTTAAGTCCACTGCTTGGCACAGCCACTACTGTGGGCCATGGAGAAACAGGAGAGGAGGTGGGATGGGGGGCAGGGACAGGGAAATGGCCAGTTGGTACAGCAGTGTGAACACATATAAGTGTTATTGATTATAAAAGCTGGGCTTAGAGCTCAGTGGTAGAGCACCTGACCAGCAGGCACAAAGCCCTGGGCTTAGTCCTCAGCACCACACAAAAAAAGATGTATTGACAAGTTCACCATCTTATATGGGCATGGGTCATGATGCCCCAAAACAATTACAACAGTAACATCAAACGTCACTGATCACAGATCACCATAAAGTGTGAAATATTGTGAAATTTACCAAAATGTGACAGAGAGCATATGTTTACTGGAGCATATGCTGTTGGGAAATGGCCCAGGCAGACTTGCTGATTTGTTGCCACAAACTTTCAATTTGTAAAAAAGAGAGAAAGAAAAAAAAAAAAACTCAAGGAAGCAAAGAACAATGGAAGGAGGCAGTCTGTCCACATAACTGGGGCAGTTCCAGATGGGTCTCTGCTGACTGTCTACTCTTCAGGGCTGGGCGATCCTTTTCTATTTCTTACCAGGTAAAGTAATTTTGGATTATACACTGAACACTGCAGATGTCATCTTATGGAGCCAGTTCTGTTATGTTCCTTCAATAGAGTACTGAGCTTTTTTGTCTTGTTTTGTAATAAGTAGTTAATCTAGCTGAATTCAAACTGTAAGATATTTCTCCATCGTAGGGATTAGCTAAAATATCAATTATTTTAGTCATAGGTGAGTTTCTTAGGCTTCCTTGTTGCACATTTATTTCAAGGATAAGCCAGAAATTTGGAAAGAGTTTATACACAAATTCTGAGGTCTCCCACCCTGGGCTCTCTTCTCTGGGGCATCCCCTCACTTCTCAGAGGCAGAGGCTGCCCGATTCGAGTTCTCTCATCTTAAGGCCAAAGCCATTACATATTTCTACCAGATCTGCAACTCTCTACATGGAGCAAAGTGTACCCTGCCTTTATTTCAACATCCTTTTTTGAGTAAAAAATTTAAAAGAAAAAGGAATTCACCATGCCCTTCTTTCAACGTTAAAAAAACAGACTATTTCTTAGATCAGTTTTAGGTTCATAGCAAAACTGGCAGAAAATGGAGAATTTCCACAAACCTCCTGTGCTGATACCCAATCTCCTCTACCTACACCAGAATGGTGCATTTGCTACAATCGATGGGCCAAGACTGGCATATTATTATTACCCAGAATTCGTAGTTGACATTAGGGTTCACTCTTGGCATTGTTCCTCTCACGAGTTCTGACAAATGCATGATAACAATGTGGCCTTCACTGTAGTATCACACAGAATAGTCTGTCCTAAACATCTCTGTGCTCCACCTATCCCCTCCCTGCACCTAATCCCTGGAAACACTGTCACTTGCACTGCTGAAGAGTGTGCCTTTCCAGAATGATGAGCAGTTGTAATAACACAACAGGGACCTTCTCGGATTGGCATCTTTCACTTAGTGACATGCCTTCTTTCCACATTTGACACTCCCTCCCCAATGAACTGGGTTTGATCACTTTCCAATGTTTTTAGAGAATCATTTTGCCCAGAATTTATAGCTACTATCTGTGGGAAAGCTAATCTAATGTGAGCAATTCAACCATTAAGAGAAGAAAATTTAAATATAAATTGGCACCATTAACAGGAGTAAACAGACTTCTGATCACAGCCCAAGTCAGAGTGTATCTCAGATCAACCTGTACCTGGTGAATTTTAGGACTGGAGGTAGATCTTAATGGTCTTATTGTACCAACCAATAACAGATTCAACAGTGGATCCTAAGTCCATTAACATATAATGAAATACCATTATTTCATTACTTAAAATGTACCATTAAAAAAAAGATTCTGTTCTAAATATACATAACAAACCTGTCAAGGCTGTTTCACTTATAGATGTAATTTGCAGAAAAACTTCTCTTTTCAGTGAAGTCCAGTCTTGAAAATTATCATATATTTCATTTTTAATACTGGTTAGCTCCCTTTTAGTAAAAGTAAGTAATGAAAGAGTCTTATTCCAGAAATATTTGTACTCCGACAATCTTTGACTGCAAAGTAGTAAAATAAAAATTAGGATTTTTTAAAAAGTAAGAATAATAACAAATATTTCTTCAAAAAGTGGTTTTAGAGTGATCTTAAAATTGTCTAAATAGAGACAATTTTGAAAGTGAAAGGAGGTGTGATTCATGTCATACTGAGATAGATAAAAACTGGGAGTATCTCATGTAGACAGAAGTATATGGCCATGCCAACTCATTTCCACTTTGCTATAATTTTACCTACAAAGAAAGGTAATGACCTTCATGCATATTTATTCTATTAATTTTTTACTCAACAGCAAACATTTAGAAAAGAAAATGTGGTCAGGGCCATTTGGTCACAGAGCCTGAAGGAGAACCCGGGACTCTGTGTGACAGTATTCTTCCCAGATTCATAGTCCCACAGGCAGTGTGAAACCTGAGGGCATAAGGGAACTTTTCAAGCTGACTGGCCCCAGGCTTGGCTTCATCAATTGCCACAACTCAAAATAATCACATGCTTTTGTCATCTCAGTAGCTTCCGCTACTTCAGATACCCTGGCTAGGGTTCCTAACGAATCAAGCAAGGTGATGACTAAAGCCCCAAAGTGAAGTCACCAGCCAGTGTCCATGGTCCTGAGTAGACACAAAGGTCTGAGTGTAGAACCATCACCTGTCTTTCTTATTGATGGCGTAGCATCCAGAACAGTGCCTGACCACAGTTTGTGCCCAACAATATGACAGAATGGAGGAGGGAGAAGTGCCAGGGACACACACTGGACAGCATGAACTGGTAAGCAACTGAAACAGAAGATCTGCCAGAGGAGACTCGGGACCAACCAGTGAGTCAGAAGGAAGACCCAAGGAATGGGGCAGAAGAGGCAGCATACTTCTAGAAGAAAGCAGGGGCCAGCCCTATGGCCTCCGACAGAGGCTGGGAAGTTCACTGTGGCGAATATTAAGGAGACAGCTGATGACCTCAGAGAGGCATGAGGCAGGCAGGGCTGAGACATAAGCAGAAGCAGGAAAACAGCCTGTGGCACCAGCTATCAAGCTCCTGACCAGGAGGAAGGAGGGCAAGAAGAACTGCATCACAGAATGGTGTGTCAGGACGAGGAGAGTCAGTGTGGTGCAGGCACACAGGCTAAAGCCCAGCAAAGGGGGATCACTCCAAGGAAGGACAGACAGAACGGAGGCTGAAGGAGGATAGTGTGCTCCATCCAGCTGACCACAGCCTCAGGGATGACACCCCTCCTCCCCCGCCAAGTTCGGCATGGTCAAGACAGATACTGGCTTCAGAGGGCAGAGAAAGCATCAAAACAGGGAGCCAAAGGGAAGGGGAGCAGCCTGGATTTGGCAAGACTAATGCCGAGGCGGGGGGAGAAGACAGGGGGAACAAGGGCAGAGCCAAGTGGAGGCCACGTGCACACAAGGGCATCAGGGCCAAGGGCAAATGAAGAGAAGGGAAGACTGGGGTGGGTGGGGGTACCTCTGCAACAGGAGGTGAGAACAAGGCTCAGCTCATCAACCAAGAGGTCCAACTGTGAAGGGCCTGAGCCCACATGGTTTTCCTGGGGAAAAGGCACTAAAACGATAACTACAAAATTAGGTTTCAAAGCATGTAATTATTTATACAATGAGAAAAATCACTACAAATAAAAATTTTAAAGTTGATAAATCTCACTAACGTTATAAAATACAAGAAAAGAATGTACCTTTTAAAATGTCCTACAACACTTTTTGCTTATGTTTTTAGCCATAAGCTCCATAAATGGCTCAAAAAATGAATTCTTTTTGAATGCTACTGTAAGTGGTGAGGACAGAGACCACACAGCCTTGCCACTGGCCTGGCCACGGGATGGCTTGTGGTTTTAGTAATAGTAGTTTAGAAAGATCTTTTGGCTTCAAAGATTATTAGTAATGCCACATAAGTATTTAGTGTTGTCAAATTTGGGGAAATCCTCATCAATTTTTTATATACAATTATAAGCCTTTTGTTGTTTCAAGTTTCTTCAAAAGTGACTAATCTTAAATTTTCTTTAAAATAACAAAATTCATGAGCCACTTTATCTTGATGTCACCTTGGAAATAGTACACTATGATTTTTGCATTCAGTATGTTAGAAACTGTTGTCAAATTAGGAGGAGACAAACCTTTCTCCAATGAATTTGAATAATTAACTTCTCTTCACTGGATTATCAAATAATACAAGAACTTTTATTAAAAATTTATCACTTTGATATAATCTGAAAAATTATTATGATTTGGTTTATGCCAGAAATTTTTCTATTGTTTAAATTGCTCTACATTGCTTTTACTTCATTAATTTAAAAAAATTCATATGCATCCAAATTTTTTGTCTGTAACTTTTTGCTTGTTTTATTGAAGCTATTCTAAAATATCTTTCCAAATGGCAATTATAATGGTGTGCTCCCAAGTCACCTCTCCCTTACTGAAACCCCCATGCCTGTCACTACTGACATCAGAAGTAGGACAGAAGGGAGAGCAGGGTGGAGGCAGAATATTTAAATGACTGGAAACTAACCATCTTAGTTCATCCTGGACTCCTAGGACCTTAGAAGGAAGACTTGAGTGAGAGTTTTGAAACTGAAGCATCATCTGATTCATAATCTGTCTCAGTCGGCAACCTTCTCTGTGTAATAACAGGCAGACACACACATCTAAACAGGGCTGATGAGCCTCAGGGAAACAGTGAGGATTCTTCACTGAGGACCGGGGGCTTACCTGCAGGAAGGTGTCAAGACTGAGGATTTTATGGATAAGGACAGTTGAATAAGTAGAGGTAAAAGGGCTTGGAGAACTAGGAGCCTCCTTTATATAGAAAAACCTAATTCCCGCTAGAACCAGAAAACAACCTCATCAAGGTTGCAAGGCGCAAGCTGCACATGCAGAAAAAAGCAATTTTATTTCTATATGTTAGCAATAACAAACCCCCAAATAAAATTAGAAAATAGGGAAACAATTGCATTTATAGTAACACAAGAATAAAACATTAAAAATAAATGTAGGAGGGCTGGGGCTATAGCTCAGTGGTAGAGCACTTGCCTTGCATGTGTGAGGCCCTGGGTTCAATCCCCAGCACCACATAAAAATAAACAAAGATATTGTGTTCAACTACTACTAAAAAAAATTTAATTAAAAAAAATAATTGTAGGGGCTGGGGCTAGGGTTGAGCAGTAGAGCACTGTGTCGCAGGTGTGAGGCCCTGGGTTCGATCCACAGCACCATATAAATAAAATAAAAAGATATTGTATCCATCTACAACTAAAAAATATTTTTAAAAAGTTAGAAATATGCTAATGATGAAAATAAGATAGTTAAAAAAGAAAAAAATAAGTGTAATAAGAGAAATATTAAAAAATAGAACATTTCAGAGAGAAATAAAGACTGCAATAGATAACATCTATTAAGTAAAATATTCAGTACTTTAAAGATGGCAATTCTGCACAATTGAATTGATCACCAAACTTACTGAAGAGACTGCCAGGCTGACCCTATGTGCAGATGAAGTGCAAGGGAGAGGGCAATGCACCCCTGAAAACAAGAAAGCTGCAGGACTTACAGCTCCTGTTTCCAGGTACACTGAGGATAGCGTTCAGAGAGGGAGGGCTGACACAGAAACAACACAGTGCAAGGAGGTGTCCTCTCTGTTCACAGTGAGCTGATTTTGGCTAAAGATGTCCATGCAGCCCAACAGTTCAAGAAGAGTCTATTGACAGTGGTGCTGGAAAGACTGAATATCCACATAAGAAAAGATGAGTTCAGATTCTTGCCTCATACACAAAGTTAATTCAAATGGATCCTAGACCTGAATGTAAGAGCTGAAACAATAGAACTTTAGAAGAACTTTAGAAGAATGATGTTTGTGACTTTTGCTTAGGCAGTTCAATGTATCACCAAGGTGCAGTACACAAAAGAAAACAGAAGTTATATTCATAACCCACTTGAATCAAAGTGTGAAATATGATATGTCAAGAACTATGTAATGTTTTGAACAACCAACAAAAAAAAACAAAAATAAATAAATAAAACTTTTGCTCTTCAAAAGCACCACTAAGAAAGTGAAAAGATAAGTCACAAATGGGGAGAAACTAACTGCAAATCATGTTTCACAGAGAGGACTTTTACTCAGAACACACCAAGAACTCGTCCAGAACCATCACCAGGAAACAAGCAAATTAAAAAATGGACAAAATATTTTAAGTAGATATTTCATCAACTAAGATACACCAATGGTTAATAAACGTATCAAACAATGCTCAGCATCACCAGTCAAGAAGAAAACAAATGGAATCCCCATGAGATGCTATTTCTCATTGTAATTGCATTGTAATCCACAAGACAGACAACAGCAAGTGTTGCTGAGAACCCTCATTCCTGGTGGGACTATAACTGTGTAGCCACTTCTGAAACAGTCTGGCAGTTTCTTAAAAAGCTAAATATAAGTTAACCATAAGATTCAGTAATTCTGTACTTAGACATCTAACCCAAAGAAATGAAAACTTACATCCACACAGAGATTTGTAGGTGAATTTTTATTTCAGCATTATTCATAAGCATCAGCATATGGACACAATCCAAATGCCTGCTGATGTAAAATGGTAGATAAATGTGACATATCCATACAATGGAATGCTATTTAGTAATAAAAAGGGAAATCACTGATAAATGCCACAACATAGATAAATCTCAAAAAAAAAATTACTAGTGAAAGAAGCTGAATGTAAAAGACCACATATCATATGATTCTACACATCTTAAATGTCCAGAAAAATACAACTCTATAGGAACAGGAAAGTTAGTGATTACCTAGGACAGGGGCGGGGGTGGGGGGGGTTGGGGGGACTAAGAACAGAGATTTACTATAAATGGCAGGAGTCTTTCTTTGGGGTGATTCAAATGTTCTAATATTGGTAACAGCTGTACAACTCTTGGACTTAGTAAACATTATTAAATTGTCCACTTAAAATGGGTCTATTTTGTGGTATATAAATTATATCTCAATGAAGGTGTTTTTTAAAAGATGCGGGGTGGGCTTGGATTGTGGCTCCATGGTAGAGTGCTTGCCTTGCACATGTGAGGTACTGGGTTTCATCCTCAGCACCGCATAAAAATAAATACAAATAAAGATATTGTGTCCATCTACAACTAAAACAATATTTTTTTAAAAAAGATGCAGGGTAATAAACTATGGGGATCTAGGTTAGAAAGTAAACCAAAAAAGCTACAACATGGTTGGGAAAATGAGAAAAAATACATGAAGTCTTAACAAGACTGAAGAATTGAAGGAAAAGCGAGAGAGCTTAGAGTTGGCATTGAACATTCAAGAGATGACAGAGCCCAGATTTCAAATCAAAAAATTAAAGACTATTTTATGTTTCAATTAACTTATGAAAGTTTTTCAACAAGAGTCTCTAAAAGTATGCACTGCCGGAAAGTTTCAACTGTGGAGGTGCGGGGTACCTGATATCCATGGTTTAGTATCTAGCTGCAGGCCTTCTCAAGCTGCTTGTCATTCTCAAAAGCATGTCTATGAGGACAGTGGATGCACAGAGCGCACAGGGCCTACTCTCTCTGCTCCTGCTCACTGCTGCAAGAGCAGGGCTGTGAACCAGGACAGCCTGGAGAACACTTTGCTGGAGGCGAAGAAGCCTCTAAAGAGAGCACTGTGACCCCAACACAGATGACTGATCTGTTCCAAGTTCTTTGAGAATTCATAAAAGAGGTGATCACCACTGAGGGAAGAGCTCAGCATTCTTTCCCTTGCCTGTTTCAGAAAGATTACAATTATAGCTCCTTTTCTTTATCAGAACAGTCACCAAGTTTCATGTTCTAACAGATATTTTTAAATGATCATAAACTAATTTAAAATCAGCTTTTAATGTGCAATAAAAGTCACTGAAATTTACCACCTTTGCTTAGTTTTATTTTTACAGTATGCCTTTTTCTATGCATGCATCTACCAATGAAAATATAAATAAAACCATTAATTATCTGCATTCTTTAACACAAACTTTTATTTGTACTAAATGTCTAGCTGGGTGATTATTCCAAAGTTGTTTTTAGCATGTACTATTTTTTATATATATCAGATCCCAGACTCCCAATTTGTGACAACTTTTTGGCTAAAAATACACAAAAATCACAGATCTATAGAAAACATGTGAATGAACTAAGCAGTTAAAAGTATAACTCTGCTAGGGACAGAGCAAGGCCCAGGGTTCAATCCCCAGTACTGTTAAAAAATAAAATAAAATATAAAATGAAATAACTTTGAAGTATGTTATGTCTAACTTTCAAGAACTATACAAATGTGAATAATGAGGATAACTTATACCTGTTCTACAGTATCTTGAAACCACGGTGATAATGTCATGTACTCCTGGTCCAACCTTCAAACGCAGGGGGTCCCACCATCCATGATGGCACTAGTGGTTAAAACAATCGCTTTATCCATGACAGACCTAGGTGGCCCAGAGTTCATGTAGGAGCCAAGAATGGATACCAATGGTCCTGAATAAAATAGAAGTGTGGCCACCTGGACAGTACTATCCTGCTGGCTCACTACCAGATTTCTATAAAAGGCTAAAGGGATTTTTTTCTTTCTTTCTTTTTTGTTTTGGTTTTGGTACTAGGGATTGAGCCCAGGGATACTTAACCACTGAGCCCTATTCTCATCCCTTTTTATATTTTATTTAGAGACAGGATCTCACTGAGTTCCTTCGGGCCTAATTAAGTTGCTGAGGCTGGCTTTGAACTTGCAATACTCATGCTTCAGCCTCCTGAGCTGTTGGGATTACAGGCATGAACCACCACTCCCAATGGCTAAAGGGATTTTTGATGACAAAAATGGGCATCTGTGTTCTTAGTAGATTTCACTCATTCATCCATTCCTTCAAAAATTACTTACTGTGCAAAGCATTTATGAAAGGTAGATGGCCAGGAGTTTATCACCAAATAATGCATTTAAAAAACACTAGCCCAATGAATTTTATTAACAGAATGTTTCTGGTAATAATTAATAGTTTAAGAACAAAAACCTAACATTCAAAATATCCAGCATGATTTTAGTTATCCTGAATCTGTATCACTTGCCATGTTAATTTAATGTGTTTTGAGCTAAAAGTTACTCAAAATGCAAAAGGAATCATTCTTTCTCATAAATGTTCTCAATATAGTCAATGCTACTTTCACTTATTTATTATTTCTATTTACACTGGGGGATGGAACTAATGGGTGCTCTCCCCTGAGCTACATCCCCACCCCTTCTTATTTTGTTTTTGAGACAGGGTCTCACTAAGTCGCTCAGACCAGCCTCAAATTTGCAATCCTCCTGTCTCAGACTCCTAAATTGTAGGGATTAGAGGCAGGTGCCAGCATGCCCAGCTTCGGTGTAATTTTTAAGAAAAAAATGTACTCAGTAGTTTGTTTAGATCATTGTATTTTATCTAAACAGCATATAAATCTGGGAGTGGTGGCACATGCCTGAAATTCCAGCAGCTCAGAAGGGTGAGGTAGGAGGATCTTGAGTTCATAGCCAGCCTCAGCAACTTAGGGAAGTCCTAAGCAACTCTGCAAAAGTATTTCTCTAAATAAAATATAAAAAGAGAACTAAGATGTGGCTCAGTGGTTAAGCACCCCTGGATTCAACGCTCAGTACAAAAAAAAAAAAAAAAAAAAGAACTATGTGTGTGTTATACTCCTGTAACTGCCCTAACCCTTTCCCTCTTCTCATCTTCCAGATAGATAGATAGATAGGTAGAAAGATAGAAAGATAGTTAGATAGATCTGCAGAAAGAACAATATTTATGTTAGAGACTCCTAACTTTGGGAGGTTTAGTATTAATATTTAGCAAGTTATCCTCTTCTGTCACATTTTATCCGAGATCAAATACACCAGGGAACACTGATCCAAAGAAACAAAGTAGCTACTGTGTTTTTATTTTATATGTCACTACAAAATAAGAAAAACAAGGTGTTTGCCCAATTTAAATTTTATTAGTGAAACTATTCAGTTGCTATATGGTTCCAAAAAAAAAAAAAGCAAAGCTATTTGCATTTTTCTAAATCATACCAGATACACAAATCATAATACTAAAATATATTTAAATTTTCATAATAAAGTTAGTATTAAATGTATCTTTTAAATTTTTATAATTTTAACTCTTTAAGTATGATCTTACCTGAAGACTTGTGATAGTCTATGTTTGATTTTTAATTCATGTTGCAAATGACTCAGTTCTTTATGTACTCTCTGATATTCAGTTTGTTGACTTTTTAACTGTATGCTTGCATCCCAAATTCTAAAAATATAAACAAATAACATCTGTTACAACCTTAAATAGTCCCAAGTGAAAACTGTTTTAAATTAAAATATAAATATACTTTTAATAAAAATAAGTAGAAGAAAAAGATGCATCTTTATAACATACTCTATAAATGTATAGAAAAAAAATATGGAGAGAAACATGCCAACCAGCCAAGATTCCTGGACAGAAAGTGGAACTTATAGGTGGACAAAAAGAAAAAGAATGAGTGGGCTGAGGTTGTGGCTCAGTGGTAGAACACTTGCCTAGCACGTGTGAGGCACTGGGTTCGATCCTCAGCACCACATGTAAATAAAAAAAATAAAGGTCCATCAACAACTAATAAAAATATTTTTTTAAAAAAGAGAAAGAATGAGGAAGAAAAGTAGAACTTTTACTCTATGTGCTTTTGTACTATTCAAATTTTCAGAGATCATGTTTTCATAAATATTAATTAAAATATAAAGTATCAAGTATTTTGTTAAAGTAATTTAAATTTAAAATGTCATAATGGGGGCTGGGATTGTGGCTCAGTGGTGGAGCACTGGCCTAGCATGGGCAGGACCCTGGTTCGATCCTCAGTACCACATAAAAAATAAAGGCATTGTGTTGTGTCCATCTATACCTAAAAAAATATATATATTAAAAAATAAAATAAAATGTCACAATGATTTTAAATGTCAAATATTACTAAAAAGGTCATAAGAAAAAATAGCAATTATTTGCCTTTACCCAGTTCCCACTGCCAGTGGCAACCACTTTCAATTTTTTCCTGTTTTTTTCCTACTATTTATCTCCACATTATTAAATAATAAATTTATACTGCTGTTGTCTAATATTCATTTTAATATTACCTAGTAAATTCAAAGTCAGTTAAGATCCAGTTCTGCTATATATAACTAAGACTGGAATCTTATTGCACACACACACAATCTCACAAAGGACAAGTCCCTTGGCAGCCAGTGTGATGCTGACGTGATAGCTTACATTTACAATGTACCAAGTCTCTGCTCCACCCTCTTTATTCCCATGGACCTCCATGGAGGAAGAAGCTCCAGCGCTTTCATTCCCATTCCAGATGATCAGCAGGAAAATAATGGCTTACTCCATACACCATAAGATCCTTAGCATCATCTGAATACTGCTGCAGAATTTAGTCATGTGGCCTCACCTAGACTTGGATGAAATAAAGCTGGGACACAGTGTTCATTACAGGAAGATGAGCCCCCAAGTATATTCACAGTCCTGTTACTAAAATGGGATGGAAAACAAATGTTGGGGTTGGTGGCTAATAAAAACTGACCCCCCTACTCTCAACTACACACCTGTACCTGCCCCTGATCATTCCCTTCCTCTCATCTTCCCAAGATTCAATCCATCATTTTTATTAAAGAACTTATTAAAACACTGTTCTTCATTGGTTAACCAACATTATGTCACGATTATATTTATATTCTTATACAACTTTTTGCAATTAAAAATGGCATTTGCTGGTAAATGGATGAAACTGGAGATTATCATGTTAAGTGAAATAAGCCAATCCCAAAAAACCAAAGGCTAAATGTTCTCTCTAATATGCAGATGCTGACTCACATAGGCAGCAGGGAGGAGGGGTGGAGGTTCACTGGATTGAACAGAGGGGAAAGCGGGGAACAGAGTGGGGATGGGAATGGAAAAGACAGTGAATGAACAGGACTTAACTCTTCTATGTTCATATATGAATACATAACCAGTGTAACTCCACAAGAATAGGAAGCTATACTCCATGTATGTGTGATATGTCAAATGCATTCTACTGTCATGTATAATTAAAAAGAACACAAAAAATTTAACAATCTTTTCTTCTTTCTTAGTGTTGTGTATCTATCAAGGCTTCTTAACATGCTAAACTGGGAGAAGCTGTTTTTGCAACTCTGTGTAAGTCTAAAATTATTATAAAATAAAATATTATAAAAAGGATGATTCCTACATATACAATGAGTGATTTGTGTAAGTATAACATGTCCATTATTTTAAATATAAAAGTTATCAGTATTGGGGGCTGGGGTTACAGCTCAGAGGTAGGGCGCTCACCTAGCATGCTTGAGGCACTGGGTTCAATCCTCAGCACCACATAAAAATAAAATAAAGATATTATGTCCACCTGTAACTAAAAATAAATGTTAAAAATTATTAATATTGTTTTAACAGAAAAAATAAAAGGAAATAACCTTCTGGCCAATCTTCGATGAACAACAATAAAAAAATTGTAGTCCTGTGGAATATTATATACAAAACATTAAATACAAAAGAGGAATGAAGCAGATCCCTATGTCCTGGCCTGGGAAGCATGGCAAGACTTCTCATTAAGGAGAGAAAACAGCAAACTGCAACGTACTGTAACTTATAGATCAATAAACACAACATGAAACCAAGTTCTATATATTCATTAATACATTTAAAATTTTAGAAAACAGGAACAACCTTAGCAATGTTAAGTCAGAGTTACCCCTAGGACATCATACCAATCGGGTGGGAAGGAGGTTCAAAGGGCCTATAGTATTTGCCACAATATTTGAAATACTTTACTATGAAGATATATTTATGTGTTGCTTGAAAATCTAAAATCAGAATTTTTTTAAAAACCTACATGGAGTCAGGCACACTGCCATATACCTGTAATCCCAGTAGCATAGGAGGCTGAGAATGGGGGGGAATCACAAATTTGAGGCCAGTCTCAGCAACTTTAGCAAAGCCCTAAGCAACTTAGTAAGACATGGTCTCAAAATAAAAAATAAAAAGGGCTGGGGATGTGGCTCAGTGGTTGAACACCCTTGGGTTCAATCCCAGTACCAAAACAAACAAACAAACAAAAAAACAAACAACCCTATCTGATCTTATTGTTTGTGTATAAGCATGTCTCAGGTTTATAAATGGGAAAATACCTAGAAATATTAGAAAGAAACTTAAGTTTATATAGCACACTGGTGAATAATAAGTTGTTTTAAGGTAAGTATTAAACTTTCCTTGATACTGCCCTACTCCAGGGCTGGGGTACAGCTCAGTGGTGGAGGACCTGCTTAGCAGGTTTCAGGCCCTATTAGCTGGGTGTGATGGCACATGTCTGCAGACCCAGCCACTCAGGATTGAGGCCAAACTTGAGACCTTGTCTCAAAAAACAAAACATCTAAATAAAAGCCTATTCCAACTATTATGAGTTTTCAGTTTGTATTTTTATTTTTTTAATTTTTTTTTCATAGGTATTCTTTTTTTTTCTTTTTTTTATTGGTTGTTCAAAACATTACAAAGCTCTTGACATATCATATTTCATACATTAGATTCAAGTGGGTTATGAACTCCCATTTTTACCCCATATACAGACTGCAGAATCACATGGGTTACACATCCACATTTACCAGCATACCCAGGGCTCAGTTTGTATTTTTACAAAACACTTTTTTTTTTTGTCATTAGAAAAATGCACACTAAGACACTTTCCAAGATCCATCTTTGAAGACATTTTCGGAATGAAAGTCAGGCCTGAGTAACACCTCAGCCCTCTGACTACAGTGCTGAGAAGCTTGATCACTTGGCCTCTGCGTTGGCTACGGTAGCATACTTGCTTTCTTCATATCGAATACTAGCATGGTTACAAACTACGTGAGCAGAGAAGCAGCAGTGTCCACCTGGACTGTATGTATCAGGTCGGCTTTATGAAGTAAACAGTTCACAGAATGCTGCAATACGGTATGTGCTGTGCAAGCCACAGCTTTTTCTAAGCAGTCATGATTTTGCACAGTTTGAACGCTTTGTTGACGTGAGGACATGATGTTGTCTAGTCAGGCACTGTTCCTGAAAACTGTGAGACTAACAGCATGTTCCAGTAGAGAGTCCTGTACTGGAGTGAGATGACCTGTACTGTAAGCCTCTTGCCAATGCAGCTATGAGAACAGCACATTTATTACCCTTATCTATTTCCCAGTTTTTCTTAGTCAACTTGATTAAAATAGATTGTGAGAATTTCTGAGTTGTAAAACAAAGGAGGGGAATATATTATCAAGCCTTTTAAATCATTTTCATTTTGATTATCTATTAATATTACTCATAATGAAATTATTCTAAGGAAAAACATTTTAACATCAAATATTAGGGGGAAAAAATGATCCCATCATTAGGCATCTTAATCTATTAGGCACCTGTAATCTATGCTCTTTTTTTGTCAATCTCGGGGGTGTAGATATTAATTTGTTTTTAGTCTTTCCTTCAGACTGGTTTTGCAGCAATCAAAGATGAGAGATGGAAGTTCAAAGTCTGGAAAAATGATGTGGGAGACATTCAGGCTTGCATTCTACCAAGGTCTCACAGGCGCAGGCATCCAAGTATCAAGGGAAAGTTAGGAGCGCAACAAAGAAATCAATCAAAACAAGCAGGCACTTCAGTTGTTGGGAAATAAACTTCAGAAACCCACATACATCTGCCCATGAGGACAAGCCGCTCTCTAACTGCTCCCCTGGAGTTAACTACCGCCTGAGGACAGTGAGAAAAGTGAATTCTGAGTCAAGAGAATAGGGGATGGGGTGGAGAGTCCAAGTCCTACAGAGAGAGAAATCACTTAGGGTTCAATAAAACTGGAAGGAACTCTTATTCAGCAGAGAAGACATGAGTGGAACCCAGGCTGCTTTAACTGTTTTCACAAAAGCTACTGCAGCTTCAGAAATACCAGCAGGAGCAAGCACTGGACCAAGAATGTCACTGACATATGAGCCTATGGGACATCAACAATTTTTAAAACAAAATTATCTGTAAATACAAATACTCAATTTCCTTAGGAGTGGTATTACCTTACTTTTATTTAGAAAATTAGTGTGACATTCAAAATTCCTACAAAATTCTTAGTTACTAAACCATATCCTTTTGTTAGGATAGTCTTAATTTTATACCAGTCATTCTCCTTTATGTACATTATTAATGCACTGAAAGTACCCAAAAAGGTAGGAGAAAGGTATCTTGCACTAGAC